AGATGGTAAATGATAGGTAGAAGGATAGATGTTAGATAAATAGGTGATAGATAGATAGATGATATCCCATATAATTTGATTAACTGAAAGCATATAACATTTTGTTCTTTTCAATTTCAGTTAAGTGTAGTCTTAGGTTGGCCTTTCAGCTATCCTAGCAATCTGGAATTTCAACAGATCATCTGCGTTTTCAAACTTTCTCTATGGAAACTAACTTTCACCAAATACCTTCCAGGTATCCCTCACAAATCACTGATGGAAGCAGTACAATGTCTTGGTAAACACAATAGATCACCTCAGAACAACTTGTTTCCCACATAATGTTATGACTGTGTAAGTCACAACTCACAGGTCAGAGAGGCATGTTTAAGGTTTTTAAATCACTCCATCTCAAATAGGGTTGAATAAAAGGTCTGGGCTATTGAGCTGTGCATTTTTGCTCCAACTGTTTGCACTTGTTGGAATAACTATTTCCTGTTTTTGTTAACGCTCATTAGCAGCCACTGATAATAAAAGCCAGTGCCCAGCAGAAACAGACCAGAGGAAATTTTCCGACTCATTTTCATAAGTCCAATTCATCAGTTCTGAAGATATATGAAGTGTGACTGCAGAGTAATAAGAGTGATTAGGTTTCCATGGGTAACAGAACTCTTACATATAAATGAGCAACATCCCATCAGGAGTCCTCAGGGTGTCTATGTATTCCTATGTGATTGGTCTGGAAGCATTTTTGGATTTCCCCTCTGGGGAAAATATTCTTTTGAGCATCTTTAATACTGGCAGTTCCACCTTTGAGGAGGGATTTGATGTTTGGAAATGCTACAATGTATTAATAGTATATGTCTGTTGTCTTCGTCTACCCAGAAGTCTTTTACCAAATTTCTTTTATTGTTTATACTGTCTTTGAAGGTCCTTGAATGGGAAATAATTTTTAAATGTCCTGGGAAGTTGCCATTTTACCTCTGGTAATTGAACCCATATTTTGCCCTCCTCCTTTTCCACTAGGTCTCAGCTGTTTAGATGGGTTTGACTTGACAGCGAGACAGACAAATAACATAGATCTGTCATCAACTTAGACCATGATGGTACTTGGTTCTTGGATAAGAACTGATTGGGGTGACTCATTCAAATGGCTATCATCTTGCTTCAGGAGGAAAAAAAACACTGTAAAAATGGATCCAGAACTTAAGAAAGTAGATCCTAAAACATGAGCAATAATGTGTATGTGTATGTGCACACCCATGAAAAAACATGTACTGAGAGATGTCAAATTCTGATTTGTTTTTCTGGTAGAAAAAGCCTTTGTTTGTTTTGTTTTCAGACAATTGGTAGAAGAAACCATAATTAAACAGGGATAGGGAGTGCAGGGAAGGAAAAAAGGACAACCCATCTTGAAGTGAGAAACATACTCCAGGGTGGTGTTTTAGTATGGGGCCCTATATCTATTGCTGTTCCTTGTTCTACCTTCTGGATATGGGTCTTGCACATACTAGTCAAATGCTCTACCACTGAGTTAAGTCCCAACTGTTTGGTTTTTTATCAGGCTCATTTTAGTTTTCATGGATCAAAATTGTAGGAACTCTATAGCTAAGTAGTGTTGTAGTTTTAAAAAAAATGTGGCATGAGAAAGATGCCATGTGACAGGGTTCAAGAAGAGGGGTTTTTCATTAGGGAACAGGATCATAAAAAGGGGAAAGTGGATGGGGAAGACCAGCCTTTAGGGACAGAAGCAGCAGGAGAGAGGAAAAGGGGGAGAGAGGAAGAGAGAGATAGAGAAAGAGAGAGAGAGAGAGGATGGCAGGGCCCTTTTAAAAGGGAACATAATGACTATACACAGGTGGTGCTCTTAGTGGCTGCAGCTGAGGGTGTATCCTATCAGAACCCCAAGGGCAGGCCAGTACAGATGCCTGAATACTAACACGAGGTCTTGCCTGAGAAACTTGTCACCAATTCTCATCTTTACAAATTGTAAAGAGAAGCTTTTTCCTTGAGAGAAGCCTTCCCACCAGCCTGGTTCTAGAGCCGCATCAGTCCCAAATAAACACACAGTAGACTATATTAATTATGAAGCTGTTGGCCTTTGCTTGTTTCTTACTGGCTAGCTCTGACTTAAGTAATTACCCCATAATTGTTAATCTAAGTATGTCTCTTACCGGAGAAGTTTCCGGGCTTCCTACCCTATGGCGTTACATCTCGACTCCTGTCTTTCTCCTTCCCAGAGTTCTCCTGGACTCCTAGTCCCACCTATCTAGATTCCTATTGGCCAGCAGTGCTTTATTGACAAATGCACAGGACTTCCCCCCAACAACAAATGAACTCATGGAACACAATTTATGTCAAAATTAGGAACTGGCTGGGCGGTGGTGGCGCACACCTTTAATCCCAGCACTCAGGAGGCAGAGGCAGGTGGATCTCTGTGAGTTCGAGGCCAGGCTGGACCAACAGCCTCAAAAACAATACAGAGAAACCCTGTCTTGTAAAACCAAAAAAAAAATTAGGAACTGCATGCAAATAGCAATCTGTCACTTCCCACTGGAAACCAGCATTCTTCAGAAATCAACAGCCATCAGAGTGAAGTTCTGCTTGCTTTCCTAACACCTGCTTTGCTCCCAGACAAAAATGTGACCAGTGTTAACTTAGATTGAAAGAAGGGCGTTTTACCATAAGCTAACAGATGGAGATTGTAATGGTTTGGTTCCTAGCAGGGTGGTTGAGCATAATACTGAACACTGGGGCCAAGGTGCTCTTTTGAGAGAAAGAGAAAAAAATCTCTTTGCCCCCTCTACTACTTTCTAGCTTCCAGAAAATCCTTCTTTCTCTGTCCTTACCCGAGAGAGCAGGACGATGTTGCTCAGTGAAGGATGCATTAAGTAATTTCAGGCTAGAATGCCAAAGACTGAAGTGTGGTCAGAGGCATGAAAGAACATGGTGAATAACCTAGAAACCTCTACAACTTGCTCAGTGGAACTGCAATACAGTCTAGGAACTTATTTTTTAAGCAAGGATTTCAGGTGATTCCTGTGTAGATGGTTCACATACAAGACATAAGAAAAAGAGACCACATATACCGTGGGGCAGAATCTGGATCTGATGAGGTGTTTGGTTGCAAATCTGGAATTCATTAGGACATGGACACTGACTGGAGAAGGTCGGAGTTGTATTTTGTCATGGCATCTTCCTGTATTCCTTTTTTCTGTTTCTCAGCTGTCATAATGTAAAATAACACCCCCATACCCGCAAAATGTGTCTGTGTATACACTTTTCCTGATTTAGTTCTGGACTATAGGGGAAAAACATTTTCAAGGAAAAGTATCTGATCCTATGTAGCCCAGAAGATCTCCAAATTTGGGTTTGGGTCCAATGTCAAGAGGGGCAATGACTCTGCTGGTTAGATAATAGATTTGAGTCAGTGTTGACTAGAGAAAGCAAGCAGTAGCTGTCAACTTCGCTGTGCATTAAAACTGTCTGATAAGATAGATACAACATTGGTGCCTGGACCATGTGTCCAAAGAATCTGATTCCATCAACCTTGGAATAGTCTGACTAAGATTTTCAGAGCTCTTTGGGCATTTTACATACATAACCAAAATCACTGGGGAAGAGAAACTGAGTTCTATTACACTAGAACCCTAGATGAAAACGGCATTGGCACACTCTTAGACCATTTGCTTTAAGTTTCAGCACAGAAGGTTATATTTCAAGTTTTATAACACCACAAAATCAGTAGGTGACAATATTTGGGCTAGTGTTTACCCACAGACATAGTCAAAGATAAGGAAATTATCTGTCTACTTTGGGGCTTTGGCTACAAAGAAAAGCACTGCACAATAAAAACAGGAACTCTAAAACATCTCAACCATAGTCAGCAAAACTTCTTTTGGCTTAAAACGCTTTCCCTAAAGAAATAGGAGAGTTAGAAACTTGGGTTTTCCCCGTTTGTTTGTGTCCAGACTGAGATGATGGAAGTGAAGAATTAAGAGCTTGATTCTTTTCCTTTGCTGGAGATAGTTGGTATTAAGAGCAAAAGCACATGTGTACTGTAGCTTTAGAAAAATCCAGAATATTGGAGGGTTAGTGAGTTTATTAAATCTGTAATATTCTGATACAATTGCCCACATCTAGTAACTACTTTGTCTTAGCTTGTTTTTTCACAACAATGTGGTACAATTTGATTTTTGTAAAAATTAAGCTATCTTTGCCTAAACAATACAATTCTTTATTTCAGCATCATTGTAATTATCTTTGAAGTAGAATCTATGGGCTAGATCAAAGATACACTGATGTGAAATTTAAGACCATGTATGCTTTTAAAATTGTGAGTTCCAAACTAAGGGTCAGTGACATTCTGGGACAATGCATGGATTTTAGGATGGGGTCCACATATTTTTTGAAATCGTTCTATTTTGCTATGAGCTAGTCTGTGGCTTCTTATCTGGTTGTCAAAGAGTTCATCACCAAAAACAGCCATCTTCCAGGTTCCATGTTCTTAGAGACTCCTTTACTTTAATCCCTTTCCACAGTGCAGGGTTGAGAACAAGACAGGCTGTGAGGTTTTGGTCCTCACCTGTGGCTCTCTGTACCAGTGTGACAGGTGTGTGTGTGTGTGTGTGTGTGTGTGTGTGTGTGTGTGTGTGTGTGTGTGTGTGTGTGTTGCTCTGTCAGCACAACGTCATGGCTGAAATCGATTTGCTATTAGACGGGGGCCAGCCATGGCTATGACCTTTGTTACTTTTGCTGAAACTTCCGGTACTATTTCAAGAAAGAGAGAATTTTCCATCATTTTCAGTTCACAGAATTTGTACAGTGTTATAATCACCAAACAGAAGGTGAGTCTGATGTTGAGCCATCTAAGCCCTACTCTTGTATCTAATCAGATGTCATCCTTTTGAGGTGGACATTGCCAAAGGCTGCAAATACAGTGAAGACGTACCACACATAAAGATCACAGCTAACATGGGAAATGTGCTGGATTTTAAATTTATGAAAAAATTAAATAGAAATTTTCTTTCACTTAAAAATTTATTCAACAAACAAGCAAAAAAATCCCTATTCCTTCTCTTCTGGATGACATTTAGGCTCATTATCGGCAGCAATGTGATTTTTGTTAAAATAACATTTTAAGATAAATCTATCTGATATTACACACCATTGCTTTTTTTGGGATATTGGAATAGGGCAGTTGTGTAGCTTGATTTCTTCTTGTCTGAGAAATATGATATGTGATACTTTTGTTATTAAAGCTAATTTCACAATATATGATGAGAATAAAGTAATTTTTAGGAGTGCTGGAGAATATACTGACTGTTGTACATTTTTTACAAACAAATCTGTACTATTTATTTAATCTTAAGTCTTTTAAAAGGTGTGATCAGCTAGGTGGTGGTGGCACACGTCTTTAATGCACTCAGAAGGAAGAGGCAGGCAGATCTCTGAGTTCAACGCCAGCCTGGTCTATAGAATGAGCTCCAGGGCAGCCAGGGATACACAGAGAAACCCTGTCTTTAAAAAAAAAGTTGTTAGCGTGCTATATCCCCCAGTCCTGCTGCTGTTTTCTTAGAGGTTTCTTGTACTGGGCCCCTATGTGAAATAAGGCACATATCAACTAGGCTTTATAGATTAAATCAAATCCTGAATAATTCTTTCCAAACAGTTGTGTTGTCATTCTTTCATTCTGAAGTAGAACTACTAAGGGTATGGCTGAAAACAAACATGAAGTAGGAAGTTGGGGTCTGGACCCATCCTATTCCCTGTGAACAGAATGGGTAGGGAGCAGTACACCCTTCAGGTAGTGACTATTAAGCTAAAATCTCCGACAACCCCTGTCAATGAGATTCCTGATGTGAAAGTCCTTGGGAAATGATAGCCTTGCTAATGATAGCCACACAGAGCCGTGAGGCTCAGCTGGTCATCACTGGGTGAGGAAGGGTCAGGGTCACTATAGATCTGAGTCAGAGCCAAGCTCAGGATTTCTTTTTTTTCTTTGTAAAACCGTAGTTCTTGTCCTGCCTTCCTGGCTTCCTCCAGCTGTCCCAGGGCTGCACGTAGCTCTTGAGAGAGAATTCCTGGTGACTCACGCTCCTTCATGATCCAGTCCAGGGCCATGTGGCTTCGCATCTTTTCATCTAAAGAATATTGGGAATAATAGGAGATGACTTCCTAGAACCAGGAAACAAAAGTTCAGAGTGTCAATAAACAGAAACAAGAACACATGTGTGCAATGTCTTCTATACTTCCCCAGTCATGTGGCCTTCAAGCAACTCTTACTTTCAAAATCTGAAACCAAATCCCATTGACATACTTCTGAAAAGGAAATGATGAACTAATATAGTCCTGCAAAGCCTGTCACTCCAGGCTGAGTCAAAACATAACACTAGGAATGACAATAATGTTCACAAAGATATATTTCTGTAACAACATAGAAATACGGCTTCATTTATTCACTGGACGCTTGGGCCCTGTACCATTACCTTTAACGAGACAGAATGAGGAAAGGGCTACACAGACAAGTTGAGGTAGACTGAGGTTTGGACATGCCTATTGCATGAAAAAGGAAGCATTCAGTAAAGGGGTCTTTAGAAGACTTTGAAACCCAAGACTCTACTTCCTAGACGATGTGTTTTGCTGTTGGGACACAGTCCAAGAGTAGAGTCCTGTGAGAAGAATTTTGAATGCTTTTGAGAAAACGCCAAGGAAACAGGACAAGGGTCTTGTGACCTCAGTTTCTTCAAAAACACAAAATCGTCCTTGGAATGTGTTTTCATGCTCCTCCCAGGTGTACTAGTTAGGAGTGAGTTTACTTCCAATTATTTGCTACAACTGGCTATGGCCTCTATGGCAAAATGCTTTTGCCATATGCTGTTGTCCACCATGTGTGGCTTACCTTGTGACTATAAGCTTTACTCATGTGACCCCTCTTAACCCTCAGAATTCAAACTGGCTGATGCTCCAGATAAAGTGGGCTATTTATTGCATGAGACTTCAGTACGCCTCATTTTTTTTAAGCTCCATTCCCCCAGGTCCCACCGCCTTTAGCATAAGGAAGACAAATGTCCTGAAATGGCTTACAATCGGCCCATAAAGAGCTTCCGAAATGTATTGTAGAATGGAGACATCATTATTGGTATTACGGTGACACTTTTGTGATACACTATTTTTTTTACTTTTGCAAACAATTAAAAATGAACCACTCCTTTCATTTCTTCTATGAAAAAAAATCAATCCATCATGCTGTCACATGTATGTTTGATCATGGGGAATGGATGCATTGCTTATTTTTATTTTCAGGAACATATGGTATTTATTTATGACCTTAGCAAATTAAAAACAATCACGGAAAAGTGTTTATAACCAATCCAACATATTTCAAAGGACTTGCATAAACTCAAAGGAAAGGGAAAAAATAGCTGAAGCCATTGTTAGCTACTCATTTCTTTTCCATTTTTGACATGTTGAAAGCCAGACTTTCTAAGCAAAGGACAACTAAAAATGACAGGGTCTGCAGTGCCTCCAAGACCCTCATCTTGATTACTTTAGAGTCTTAGTTCTTCATAAAAATTCTTATTAGGAAATTCTCAAAAATAAACTATTGTCCTTCAAGTTCTGATGGATTAAAAAAACGGGTAAATCTCAGAGGGCAATAGGAAAAAAAGCTTTAAACACACAGGATAGAGTTTACACTTGGTATTAAAAAGAGGAAGGGTTCCAATTGTAAGTTATCAGCGCTTCAGAGAGAAGGCTTACAGCAGGCAGGTTTGCTAAAAAGTTATGATCTGAGGGTCAAAAGGAAATAAGCAGGCTCACACATGCATTCCTTTCATGGTTCTTCACTCTTCAAGAAATGTTCCTCCCCACAAGTTCTCTCTCAAAAGCTCTCTTTAAGATTTCGCTCTTAAAAAGCTCTCTCCTCAAAAGTTCTTTCTCTAAAAGCTCTCTTAAAGTTCTCTTGATATCTGAAAGTCCCTTCTAAAAATTCTCCCTAGGTCCTTCTAAAAGTTCTCCAAAAAGTTTCTTCTAAAAATTCTCTGAAAGCTATTCCACAAGGTGTCTAGCTTTTATGTCCACAGGCACATTTAACAACTCTCAGACAACAGGGTATGCATATCTCTCAGAGCCAGGAAGGTGGGTAGGGTCTTGAGGAAAGCAGGTGCCTCAGGTCTTCCCCCCTTGGATGTGACTTGCAAAGCTTCCTGGCAAACGTAAGTCTCAGGGGAGATGTGACTTGTAACATGTGCTGTTAACTCATTAAAACGGGGACTTCTCAGCATTATGTCAAAGGGAAAAACTAAGTGTGAGACCTGGAGCTGCAGCTCTTACTGCTGATGCCCCGGTGAGAAGGAATTCCTTTTCTCTGGGGCCTATTTGAGAATACAAGGTAGCCAGTATATATTCTATATACAGTCAGATTTGCAGTAACAAATATCCTGGAGTTGACGCCTACAGTATTAATTGCTACTTCTGTAATAAATGATAAGGGCTCCCAGCATGTCACCCCTTTTCAGTTTATTTTTAAAGAGGTGTGTAAACATCTCCCCATGGGCAGCATAAACTATGGACAAATAAAAGTCTGAAGATGATTTAAAGTAGAACAATGGATTAATACAATGCTGGGGTAATTTGGGGTTGAATTCCACTATGGAAAAGGGAAGTGTTTTGTCTTCACAAAGGTTCCACAGAGGTGACAGTGACAATTCAAATGGCCAGGTATCCCCAAGGCTTTGCAAGAGGGGTTTCCTCCAACAGAATACATGATGATCTCGCTGGGTAGCCTAGTGATTTTGTCAATTGAAATCTCATTGTATGATCTCTGTGGCCTGTAGCAGTAAGTAATGAAGGAATACTGAGACCTAGCCCCTGGAAAACAAAGAGGAAACTTCTAAATCAAAAAAATTAAGGTGACTAAATGCCAGTGTGTCCAACTTCATGACCCTTTTTGCTGCTTTTGAGGAACTTTGGTTGTAACAATTCCACCTGTCTTTATCTTGGAGGTTCTAGAAACAGCAGATTCTCTTTCTCTCTATACTGGATAGTGCAAAAGGGGACAGATCCAAGGCAGGTAGGGTGGATGTACAAGCTACATTACTTAGAATCCAACACTATCTTATGGTTGCTTCATTCTGCATTAAGAATAATGGGCCTTCTGACCAACCCTCTGCAGAGCCAACATTCTTAGTGTGTGTGGCAGTCCCCGACTCAATATTTCCTCACTTGTCCTTGCTTTTAACTTAGTAGGTAAACATAATTTTAAAACAAAGAGATGCATAAATAAATGAGGTTTCAGTCGATGTGTTTACACAAACAGAAGCATCTGAATAAAGGAAACCTCTTCAAAGTTTGGTAGGCTCCTGGCCTTGTCCTTGGCACATTAGCCTGTCTCAACCAGAAAGTCTCACCTGTCTAGAGCACTTTGTTTCACGGAGGGCTTTCAGGCTTCCATTCCAGTGCAATAGTTGGAAAACGGTCATCAGTTCCTACAAAATCCAAACATCTGTCATTGATCTTAAAGCAGAAGTGCATGTCAGCAAGAGCTGAGCAGACATAAATATGACCCCCAAAGAAATAAAGGAAACAAGATATATGAAACTGTCAGAAACCTTGGGACTTTCCAAAGAACAGAGCACCAAGGCCCCTGAAGAAATGCCTCTATTCCCCTGCTTAATCTTACTTTCAATATGATATTACTAAATGGTTGACAAGTGTCTTTCAACACTAAAAATATACACATTAAAATAGTTGTACACCCCCAAAAGTTACTTAGGTATGTCAGAACATAGGAGAAATAACTTACAAACAAACTTATACATACTTTGTGTTTTTTTAAAAGAACAGAAGATTCCTAAATACACATTTTCTTGTAAATGACTAGAAAATTTTTTTACAAGATGTGAAAGAACCTGGTAATATAGTGTGAAGGTCTCACTTGGTGGTAGAGCATGTACTTAGCACGCATGAGACCCAACTGTGGATCTCCAGCACCAAAAGCAAAAAAAAATATTGATCTGGTAACATGTCTGACTTGGAAGAAAAGAGTGGGAGGAATTATTTCCAGCATTCTGGAGGAAAGGTTTTTGGGTTTTTAATCATGTAATTAAATGACATTAAAGAAAACAGTGGAAAAATTTAAGAACTTAGACTGAAAAATAAATGTCTATGTTACTAAGTAAAATTTATAGCAGTCGATTTGCTTTGGACCAAGCTCCTTCCAACACATGACTCAAAATGGACCAAACCAAAGTAGACTCATAATTGCTAAAGTTCCATATCAGTAAGCTGAAATAGATTATCTACCTGACTTTTTTTTCAGGATACAGAGAAGAGAGGGGGATGGAAGGAGGGAGGAAGGGAAAGGGGGAATGAGGGAGAAATGTGGGAAGAGAGAGTCAGAGAGAGAGAGAGAGAGATAGAGAGGCAGACAAAGAGAGAGGGAGTGAGAATTTTAGCCAGTATAAAAAGAGAGGTAAGTCCTTCTGCTTTAAGAATGCCTTAAAATACCAACAACGTGGTTGTATTCACCTTTAAACAAACAAAGGATTCTACATTCTGTTCTTTTGCCCTGAGAGAGTACAACTCTATCCCCATTTCCCTGTCTGGTCTAGGACCAGCAAGCTGAACATTTCCGTTTTCCTAATGTGGTCAAAGCTAGCAGTTTTCCACTGAAATTATCTGTGTTTTACCTATTTAGGGATTTCATTTATGTTCTTGCTTTTTCCCCCTTAAAGCTAGGTGTCAATTATGAATCAATACCATAAACCCTGACCATATAATCATTGGAAAATAGCCCCACATAATTAAGGAACTTCCTGCTTATGAACACTTAGCATCTAGACAGATGTCCTATTGACTATTCATAACAACAGCCTTTTACTGACTGTCTTTACTTCTGTTTGCTCAAGAACATGTTTTTCTTCTGAAATTCCAGAGACAGTGCAGTCGTAGGTTGCAGGCATGTTGAAATCATCTGGTGTATTTTAGAACTGCAGGATTATTGGAGGATCGAGCAGCACTAGTCTCAGCTCTGAAGCTTCTATTATGGGTTAGTGCTGCTACTTTCCATCTCAAGATCCAGTGGGTGCACTGTCGGTACTCCACCATAGGTGGAGTACCCCAGGGAACACTGAGCTAGCAGTAAAAGCAAGACCATTTGCCCCCATCAATTAAAATCAACACAAATATTAAACAAGTTGCTCCTTCAATACTGAACAAAGACCCCACTGTGCAGCATCCCAAGTCAAAAGCCCAGAGACTTGCCCTGCAACCGCCCCTCTTCTCCCTGGCCCCATACAGTTTTACTCCAGCATATCGCTACACTAATACAAATAATTGGGAGCACTTTGACAGACTAATAGGGCTCTTGTCTCTGTGCTTGTTGATCCATTCATCAAAGTATCCCCAGGAGGGTAAACCTCTGCTACGTTCCCCAGGGCTCCCTTCAAAGCCACTCATGCAATACTTTGTAGCCACAAAAATGGATATGGACTCTCTATGCCCTGATAGAGAACAGGATCTATGTTATAATAAAGGTCCTTTAATAAAAGGCCAATATTGGATGTTTCTCTGATTTAATATAAAAATTCACTTGAATTTTGCACTCATATATATATATATATATATAATACATAATCATATTATTTGTGTGTCATATATGTGTGGTCACATGGATGTGCGCATACATGAGTATAGAGGCCAGAGGTTGGCAGAGGTGGGTGCCCTCTTCAACTGCTCACCACCATAGTTTTTGAGACAAGGTCTCATTGAACTTCGAGCTTACTGATTTGGCTAGACTGGCCATCAAGCTCTAAGCATCTTCTTGACTGCATCTTCCTGGTGCTATGATTACAACTTTGAGCTACCATACCTGGTTTCTTATGCTGATGCTGAGGGTAGAATTTAAGTCCTATTGTCTGTGTGCAAGCAATGTAGCCTGAGCTATCTCTTTGGCCCTATATCTATTTATAATAATAATAATGATAATAATAAAAGCAATGCTCTGTTTCTTCAGTTGATGCCTCACGATCCCAAATCTGGAGTTTGTTTTTTTTTTTAATTCATTTATTATGTAAACAGTGTTCTGTCTGCATGTGTACCTGCAGACCAGAAGAGGGCACCAGATCTCCCTACAGATGGCTGTGAGCCACCATGTGGTTGCTGGGAATTGAACTCAGGACCTCTGGATGAGCAGCCAGTGCTCATAACCTCTGAGCCATCTCTCCAGCCCTGCAGTTGGTTTTAAATTTAGCTTTCTTCCAGTTCTGTAAATCAAACTCAAGACTTTGCACATACTTGGCAAGCCTCCTACAAGCAAGCTGTACTCACAGTCCCTATGTAAATTTGGCAACCGAAAGAGACAAGCTGCAGCTCCTAGTACCCATCCTAACACTGCCCTCAAGTGATCCTGTCTGAGAAACGACTTATTGCTGACACAGCTGTTGATTCCCATTGGTGTGTATACCCTCCTCTTTCTTCAGGAGCCTCTGGAACAGCCCTCTCGTTTATGCACCAATGGCTACCTCCTGTAGATGCATTGCTGTCATTCCACCCATAACTTTAGAATCCTTGGTTACACTGTGAACAGAACCAGAAAGCTTTCTCATACCCCTTGCAACCTTTCTCTGTCAAAGGCTTCCTAAAAAGACTTAAACTGTTCTTGCCTCTCAGAGGAAAGTCGTTTACTTCCCTACTGCTCTAGTTTGTCTAAAAAGTACTTCCTCCTCAGTGTGGCTCTGGTTCTTACATTTCTTTAGGGAAGGTGACCTCCTTCTCATCCTCATACATTCTATCCTGAACTAGTCTTTGCTCTGCTGTGCAGAAACACTTGTCTTCATCGTACAAGGTGTACCTAATTATTTATACACACTCCCTGTCTCACTTCTTTATTTCCCTTCAAGAGATCAAATTCTTTTAGTTGTTATTGTCTTGCTTGTTTGTTTCTTTGTTTGTTTCCAGACAGGGTTTCACTATATAGCTCTGGCTGTCCTGGAACTCACTATGTAGACCATCCTTCCTCTTCCTCCAAAGTGCTGGGATTAGAGGTGTGGGTCACATCTTCTGAGTCTCTGTGAGTTGGTGCTTAATCCAGTGCTTCTATGGCCTGTCAAACTCAAAGGAAAATAAATCCATGCAATATTGCAGAGGACATCTGTAAGGAATTGTTTTCTAGTAATTCCTGTTCCCTGGTTTTTACCCTGGCTTTGTACTTTATCAGCCCCTGTCCTGTACAGAAACTTGTAGTCACCTACTCTATGATGGCCTTTTCTGCTCTAATGTGGTGGAGTTTGCTAAATAGGTTAATTTCAAAGTCTGGGGAGACTGGCTGGACTGAAAGGAAAGTGAGAAGCCAGTTTGTTAGGGTGAGGTATGGGAGGCAAGATTTAAACTAATTCGTGAGTATTCTGAATCTTTTTAAAAATTGACATTTTGTGCCAGGCATTGTAACACACATGTTCAACTTCAGTACCGGGGAGGTAGCAACAGGCAGATCTCTGTGGGTTCAAGGCAAGCCTGGACTACCTACTGAGACCTACTAAAATTTTTTGTTTGGTTTTCTTTGTATTTTGTAATATTATACATGTTAATCACTGAGCTTTTAAAAGCATCTTTCAATTTTGTTCCAAGACATATGCATCACTTTCCTCTCTTTGTCTGGGACCTTCTGGATCTGCCTGGCATCAAGTCTGGCTTCTTACTTGTGAGGTCTATTCAGCCCTGGAGGTGCTGCCCCAGTTTGATGCTCAGTGTAATAGTTTTTGAGCAAAGGTCTTTGCATTTTTATTTTGTACTAGGCCCCACAAATTATATAACTGCTCCTGGTCATCAAGGTAAATTGCAAACTGAATGGTGAATGAAGCCTGTGTTTCCTTTGCTCTGTAGGGAAAATTGCAGTTGCTGCTTTCTCTCTCCGTCCACAGCCCACAGCTCCACAGTTTTTACTGTCATTCAATTCCTTTAATCCTGCAACAACTGGGCTCTGTCCTAGAAACTGCCTGCCTGGTTTCACCTATTAGAGACAATGGCTTTGCAGCTCCTTGGAGCAGGAGAAAGGGCTCACTTGCCTCTCCCTGGAACTCTGGGAGCCTGGCTTGGCTCTGTGATTCATCAGAAATAAGAAAAACAAACACTGTAAATGGAGAACTTGGAAAACAGGTGGGCACCATCTCCCCACCCAAGAGAATGAGTTTAAGAGGAAATTTGTTTATGGGATGAGGCTTTAAAAGGCGACCTGGGGAATTTAGCACAGATGTAAATAAACAACTCCTCCTTGCATTGCATTAGTCTTCAGAATAAATATATTAACTAGCTTCAGTCAAATTCCGCCTAGAATCTGACCTTGACAAGACCCAGCACCGCCGGTTGCCACTCCTGTCCCTCCCCCTAACAGCAGGCAGTTTCTCTCTGGCCAGCCTGCCTCAAAACAGGCAGCCCTTTCTCTCCCAAGAAGTGAAGGTAAGCAGAAGCCTCTTAGGATTCCCTCAGCGCTGGCTGCAGGACCAACCCGCTGAAAACCCAAGGGCAGTGGTTTTGTTCTTTTTTTTTTTTTTTTTTAACGCTATTGTCATCCTTTTCCCAGATTCAACCACTCTTCAATGGCCTTGACCGCACAACACAATAGAGCTAGCTCTGAAGAGTTAGGTGTGGGAGAGCCGACCCTGAGGATGGGAAAGTGTGAGGACTGACCCCACTGCTTGCTCGTCCCTTCAAGGGGCGAACTAGCCCGGGGGGGGGGGCAATGATTGAGGACTCACCCTGGTGGTGAAGACAGGAGAGGGATGGCCAACTGATCAACCTAGCAGCTACCCAGGCTCCGAAACAGGGTTAAGTGTTGGCCCACCCCAACAACCATCTCATCTGTGATCTGTTGGAGGCGGAGGGGGTCTTGGGACTGCAATATCTCCACAGCACAGGGCAGCAAACGAATGTCCAGGAAGAGTACCAGTGAGGGCCCAGTGTCGATGGTGTAGTTGAGACCAGGGGCCTCGAGCCAAACTAACGCTTCTATGGGATGAATGCCTGCTTGTAAAGATGTATGGTACTAACGCTTCTATGGGATGAATGCCCACTTGTAAAGATGTATGGTTTATTGTGTGACTCATTGTGTCACGCTGCAGCTTCCATGACGAGAGATTTTTTCCCTTTCTCCTACCCTCCATTTTCTTTTTCTTTTTTTTTAAATCTTAAATGGTGTTTTATTTGGGGAGTGTTGCAGGGGCAGAGGGTGGATGTGAGGATGCGGGAGATGAGTGGGATCGGGATGCATGATGTGAAAGGCACAAAGAATGAACGAAAAGGAAAGTTAAAAATATTCCTTAAAGAAGAAAGCTAAGTGACTTTACTCGTTATGAGTAGACCTACTCTGGATGATTTATAAATGTCCAGGTCTTTAGCTCTATAAGGTGACACTATTATTATTATTTAGCAGGAAAAATGAGTTTCAGATTGGACAAGCTCACAGACATAAAGTGATAGGCACACACACATAGGTCTGTATGATTTTAAATGAATGTCTTTTCTCTCCTGCCATTCTTTCTCCTGTTACTTTCTCCTATGCTTAGGGTTAGATTGTGGGGGAGGGTTGTAGATCCTTTATAGTTTCCCCCATTTACTGTAAGACAGGGGGCCATGAAGCATTTCGGCAGGGAGCTACCTAACCTCTTGTGAAGCTTATGATAACCAAATGTGTCAGGGTAAATCCACCCATCAAGCAGCCTCTGACTTTTCAAGTAACACAATCCTTCAGAGTCACCCTTAAACTTCATGGAATGTTTACCATATGCCAGGCTGCTCTAGAATCTTCTTATTGTGTCCTATTTCACCTTCATACTGGCACTGTGAGGTAGTACTGGTATTTCCTCGGATTTATACCCAAATGAAGAAACAGATTTAGAGATAAGGAACAGAGTAAGGCTAAAACCAGGTAGTCTATTCTGTATGATTTCTTCCACTACAGAGAAGAGTTGGTGGCTTTGGAAGTCAGCTGCAACACAAAGATTAAGTTTTATCATGATAAACGTTTTTGTTCATAAAATTTGGTAAGACTGCTTACTTCTTGAAATCAAACCTAAGAAAACAGAAGTACTGAGACTAAGGCTGTACTATTCCATATTAATTTTTTTCTGGTATTCTATGTCATTGGATATATGACTTCATTTAAGCTTAACTATTTAGAGGAACACACATTGACTGGCAAATCACTACTGAATTTTCATCTATCTAGATCATTATATGAGAAGAATCATATGTGTGAGAAAAGCAAAGAGATTGCTTTGCATGGGTCTGAAGCCTGGAGCTAAGCCATTTGCTAAATGAAGATAATCTTCCTTGGATAACATGTGACTAATAACAACTACCTCACATGACTATTGTAAGGGTTAAATTATACGAATAATTGTCAAATGCTCAATATTATGCCAAAGAAAGTATCATATAAGAATCAGATACTAACATTATTGTCATTAGTATTATTTTATATTTTATAGGTATAGATAGAATAAGTCGGTTTTAATTAGAAAACATCTGTAAGCCAAAATTAGCCCCATGAACCACACAGTCTAGCAGAATGTACCTTCAACATACTCAAAACACTTACAGTTGGCTTGCAGCTAGGCAAAAGTTTATAATACAGTATTAAATATCTTCTGTGATTTATTGAGCAATATAATGAAGAGACAAGGAACAGTGCTGTTTTCATGCCTTCATAAAAGTGGGAAATCATAAACTGAGGATTGTGTGTGATAAGTAACAGAGTTCCTCAGCTGTTACTGCTCGTCAGCTGTGGATGACATGTTGCTAATGTTGCTTTCCCTGATAGGAGGAAGAGGCACATCTTTTTAAATAGAAATATCAGAACTGAAGTAATACTTTTGAATGTACCCCTATGGAAATCCTTATTTGTCTTCTGGAAAGTAAGGAAGAGATGGTCACAAGCAACATTTTTAACCATTTGATTTGGTTTAAAGGGGATCTTAGTCCTGAGGAGCTGGCAAAGTGTTATTGGGTTGTAAAACAGGCTTTGCTCATCTGTTTCTAAGAAATGTAAAGTGACCGACACCATATGTAGGTCTGCAGGGTTTTTAATGGATGTGTCTCCTCTCTTGTGCCATTCTGTTTTCCCCTGTTGTTTTCTTCTCTTTCAGAATAGTTCTGTTTGAAAAAAATATAGACTCTTTTATAGCTCTCCTTTTTTGTTGTAAGACAGAGGCCCTGAAGATTTCGGGCAGGGAGCTTCATGAGAGCAGAGTGTGTCACGATTGCTATTGTTGCAGCTAAAATATAGTCACCATGCTGATTTCTAAAAGGGTAAACTTTTAAAAAGAAGATATTAGTGCTAATGATAATAGTTACATGTTCTGAATCTGGAGAGATGCCTCAGTAGCTAAGTGTAACTCTAGCTCCAGGGTGATCTGATGCTCCGTCCTCCTCAGGCACCTAAACTTATGTGCACCCACACACATACACCCGCTCTCTCTCTGTCTCTCTGTCTCTCTCTCTCTCTCAAAAATAAATAAGTAAATAACAAAATAAAAAATAGTTGCACATCTTCCAGGCTTCTGGATTAGGTCATCAGATAAATAAGTGGCAGGGAGATAGGCACCTGAAACTCCAGCATAGTCTTCCCCATGTTTGACTCCAACATGTAATGATAGGCTCCGACACTTGTACTGGGGTCATCCGCATCATCTAAAGTGCCCTTGGGAAGGAAAGCAAACAAAGAAAATGTCACTGACGATTCCTTTCCTTCTTTGAATGAATAGGGCCTAATCCTATTACTGGCCTAAAGGTATTAATATCCAGTTGCTCTTGGATAAGATACTTAACCTCATTTACCATGACTCAAGTGAAGAGTGTTTTATAATCAGTTTGAATGTGGCTTTTGCTTAAAATGCTAGTGGAGTGTATAACTGTTAATAGGATAATAATACCAAAGCAGGATTTCCTATTTTTTTATTTTTTATTTTTTAGGATTTCTTGTCAATGATGCATTAATGCTTATGTGACTGCTCTCCATGGCTGTCACTGTGGCTTACTGAAATATTACAACGTTGACCTTATTCAGATTCAGGCAAGACTGTATGATAGAAATTCAAAGAACTGTGCAGATGTGTGGCCCATTCCTTCTTTCCTGCCTGACTCTTAAAGGGAAGTTTTCATAATAAGCTGCTGCTGATAGCATGGGTGTTCATATATATGTATATATTACTCTCAGACTACTTAATATTTAAGAATCAATGTGGGTGACAGGTAGAAATGAGATTCTTTTTCAGTGTGGCTGTGAAGAATGACACTAAGCAGCAAACACATGCTCTGGAATGGCATCCGGGCTTCTGTCAGTATCCCATGGCATTGGATTCCCAGGATGGCCGGCATTAGCAATGTTGAGAGACTGAACAAACAACTGTCAGCATCAGACAGCAGGAAATGTATAGCTTCGAATGCAATAACGTTAACACACTGCTCCTGAAATATTTATGTTGGACTTTTAAATATCCTAGGGGAAATCCATCCAGAAGCTTGCAAGCCATATATATTCTCTCTCTTTAGAAATTTCCACGGGAAAAATGACAAATTGCATTTACATTGAGGGCCCTTCCCTGCTCCTAAGTAAATTCCACATGTATATAAATCAGACATCATTTTCCTAACTTCTCTTCCTCAAAGGCACTTGAAATTTACAGGGCCAGAAAATAAAGGCTTCCTTTTATCTTCAGACCAGATATAGTGCAGAACTCTCTGTTTTCTCCCAGCTAGGCTACTAGTTCTTCTGTCCTGCTGCTCCATCTCTTCTCCAAGGGGAAAGGGTCCCTAACAGTCTGATCATCTCCTTCATGAGCAACTGCCCTGGAAAGATAGAATCTGTCAATTCAGCTCAGGAGGGGAGTAAAGGGGTGGGGGGAGTTTAGCACAATGGCCTTTGATTCCAGTACTCAGGAGGGAGGCAGAAGCAGGAAGATCCCTGTGAGTCTGAAGCCAGTCTCCATAGTGAGTTTCAGGACAGCCGGGACTACATAGTAAGACCTTATCTAAAGAAAAGTGGGGAACTAAGAAAAAGAAGAAAAGTGCCAGAGTTTGCCCTTCTACGATTCAAATGCCTGCCCATAAGCACACACAGAAAACTATCTACTATAGGTGGGGCCCAGGTTTCCTCTGTGGCTTACAGTGGGAGGAATTCTTAACCATTTATTGGACAAGTAAATATCTAGTCCTGGATTGCTGAGAAATTTCCCTATTTAAATTTCTAAGACACATTTTGATGTTGTCTTTTTTTTTCTCCCAACACACTTAATTTGTATCTGTCACAGAAAGTTTCAAAGCTTACCAGAAGATACAAGCTGCTAGGAACCATGATTTTTCTAACACACAGAGCTGTCTAAGCAGCCCATAGTTGTTACACTATGAATTACAAGGCTGCACGCTGGCTGGGGAATTATTATTTACAGCAAAGATTTCAAATATTTAGCTTAATTAGTTAAGTTTGGGGAAAATTATAGCTAGTTTATCACTAGATTATAAATCATTCTTCAACTGTATACACTCTTGGACCTTAAAAAAAAAAGCTATACTCCTCAGAGATCAAACATTGAAATCGGTGTGATCATGTGATCCTCCTCTGTCTGAAACATAATCCATTTTGATCCTGGCATGTCAAGAGTATTAGCAAGACACACAATGGGAAGCCAGCTTCACCGTCATGATTTCTAACCTAAGGATCCATTTTGCTAAACTTTAATGAGTAGATGGGCAAAAATTTAAACTGAATATTGCTAAAATGGGAAATTTGCTTACTTTATTATTTCCCAAGATTCAAATGTCATCACATCCTCATAGAAACTACCTCTTGCCTCCCTTTGGTACTCACACTGGTGGAGGCCACTGCTTCCTGAACACTCTCCATGATGAACTCCTTGGTGATTCTTCGGGAGGGCAGCTCGTTGAAGAGAGAGTTGATGAGTGCCACTTTAGCTGCATCCCGCCTGGCCTCAGCTCTACTTAAGCAGCACTTGAGAAGAAAGGAGAGAGACAGTTATTAAAGAAGTCAGCATCTCACCATTTCAACACTGCAGCAATTGATGTCTGTGCATCTCTACTTATACCTTCATACGGGCCTGGATTCAGACTGATAGCATTCAACTCCTAATAGGTATGTAAGCCTTTGAACTAGTTAATTATCATCTCTGTGTGATGTCCTTCTTAGCAAAATAATAGTGGGAGTGAAGCTGAAACTGATTAATTGATATGAAGAAAGCACCAAGAATGGTCATGGTAGATGATACATTGCCACGCTTTATGAAAGCAGGTCAGTCATATATATTTTACCTTCATGATAGCTGTAAGAACACATAAGTTAGTGCAAGGATACTATTGTCAGTACTTTCGGCTTTTAACTTTTCCAGCATCTGTTCCCCATCTTTCTTCTATCAATAGTTCCCTGATTTTCTTGAGGACTGACCTTTATACTCATATAGTTTCCGTAGGAATCAAAACCATTTGGTTTTCCCAAAGTTAGGGGCCACAGACTGCCTGTGCTCGGTAACTTATTAAACACATTTTTAAAAGCTTGGCATGGTGACAACACCCTATAATCCCAGTACTTTAGAGGCTAAAGCTATGATAATTTTGAGGCTAACCTTGGCTAGAGAGGGACTGAGGGGCTTTATCACAGTTGTAGTGTACTTGCTTGGGATGCACAAGGCCCTGGATTTGAGTCCCAATACTTTGGAAAAAGTTTTCCCAGGGCTCCCAATATAATGTTAGTCTCCATCCTCCAAGCCTGTTTCCCTCATTGCTCACATGGGCTTGCCTGAGTGTCTCGCTTCCATTCTGTTCACTCTGTCTTTTTTCCCTAATACTTAAAATTTTCCATTCTTTGAGTTCTACTTTGGTGTGGAATTTGGGGCTCCAGAGAGAGGTAGAATTCCTATAAGAGCCAGAATGGAGCCATACCTTTAGAGCATTTAGACATGACTGCTCTCCAAGAGGCTCCTAGGAACACAGAGCTGGATAGTAAGGTTCCTTAATGGGAAACTAGTCTCGTGAAAAGAAGTCCAGGGTCAAGACAAGTCCGTGGGGGTAGTCAGGTAGCCCGGGCTTGTAAGATCTATCCTGCCTGAGCTTTGGGAGTGGGGTGGGGGCATTTCCTTATGCGCAGCTCCTACTCCCTAAAATGTGAGGCTTTCAGAAACATGATGATGTGTGGTGTGAAGGGACAGGGAAAGTACTGAGGGTCACCCTTCACTTTGCAGTTTCACAGCCTCACAGGTTTTTTTCCCCCAACAGGAAAAACCAGAGTCTTTCTTGTGTGCTTTCATTCAGCACTGTTTACTCTGCACCGGCCTTGCTGCCCTGTCCCCAGGCACTTACAACCTTGTATCATTTAGAGCCCAGCTTCTCCTTCCCACTTCCACAGACCCAGTTTGAATCTGAGACCAGCTTCTAGGTCTCCAGACCTTCCAAATAGCAGGAATGCTCTAGTGTAAGAATCACGTAGGTAACAACTGATCACTTCTTTTGACCACTCTGCAAACTTTTGTCCTCTGTCCAAACCAGGATCAGCACTTTGATTTAAGATACTTGTGTGATAGGGGGGATGTCCTTCTGCATGCTGTGAACATATGTTTCTCTTATTGGTTGACGAATATAGCTATTTTGGCCAATGAACAGACAGGATGTAGCCAGGCAGGAAGTATAGGCAGTTGACCAGACTAGGAAAATTCTGGAAAGAGGAACGCTGAGAGTGAGGAGAGAGACATCATGTAGCTACTGGGAAGATAGGATGCCTGGGCATTCTTCGGTAAGCCAAGGCTCCATGGAGATACATAGATTAATAGAAACAGGTTAATAATTAAGAGAGTGCTAGCCAATAAGAAGCCCGAGCCATCGACCTAACAGTTTATAATTACTATAAGCTTCTGTATGTTTATTTGGGACTAAACGGCTGCAGGACCAGGCAGGACAGAAACTTAGTCTACACTCGTGTACCATCAGGGCATGTAGTACCACAGGACAAAGTGTGTGTGTGTGTGTGTGTGTGTGTGTGTGTGTGTGTGTGTAAGAGACAGAGAGACAAAGGGAGAGTGAGAGACAGAGGAAATTTAAGGCTTGGACTCTAGCTTATGGTGCTATTGGAAGGTGGTGGAACCTTTATGGAAGTTAAATCATTAGAGATATGCCCCAGAATAAGATACTGGGAACCTAGCATCTCTTCTCTCTCTGTCTCCTATTTGTCAAGAGGACAACAGTTTTACTCAGCCATGCATGCTCTCTACCATTAAGCTCTGACTCACAATAAGTCCCAAAGCAGAAGAACCAATGACTATGGACTTTTTGAGACCACAACAATATGAACTTTTATTTTCTCAAAGTAGATTGTCTCAGATATTTGGTATAGTGAGTGGAAATTACCAACATACCTTTAAGTGAATAGAGCTGAAGTTCTAAAATCTGTGTAGAAAAATGGTGTATGGGTAGTAGGGTCCCTTTAGTGTTGGATGACAAGTAAGAAGGCCTTTGGAATAGCTTTAGGTAGGAAGCCTTTCAAACTTTAGGCATCTCCTAAGGTTTAGGCTACTTGTATTAAGCCAGAGAGCTTCTGTATACTTAGTTTTGTGTTGTGCTGTAGACTTGGACAGAAATATACAGGGCTGTGAAGTCTGAGTCAATCTTGCTTGAGTAGCACTTAGCTGCTACCTCTTTTCCAGGAAGCTTTGCCCAACACTCTCAAGCCAAGATGAAGGCTTTGACTGTACTTGAATGTAAATAAATGTTTGCTGGTCTTTGCCTGCTGTCTCCTACCTGCATGCCCTAATTGTTACATAATGTCTTTGTGTTCCTACCCTATTACATAATTTTGATGGAATTTTCTTTGCATCTCTTCCTATAATTTACTCAGTGAATAACAGGCTGAAACAGTGAATAACAGGCTGAAACACAGCTCAGTAGCAAATCAATAAAACACCTGAAAAAATGTGCAAGAAATTCTTTCAAGAATAAATATATGCACTTCTTTTTCTTAAAGAGTACTATGCTATATATTTTATATGGTATTTTAATTCAGCAGTATGAAAATATATTAAGCTAATATTCATAAGAATATTCATAAGAATAACTTATGGCTTTAGACCCTGGTATAAGCATTTTGGCCAATGTGTAGGATATATTTATTATTCTTTGAATAGACTAAAATGCAAAGGTTTCGCCAATATTACACAACATCTATTACAGTAGCTCATTTTAATAGAAGTTTGGCTTCACAAAATCTACAACAGAGCTTTAGGATTTTAGAATTTAGGAATAAAGGGGACTGTTGGGATGGCTCAGAGGTTAAGAGCAGGGACTGTTCTTCCTGAGGTCATAAGTTTAATTCCCAGCAACCACATGGTGGCTCACAACCATCTATAGTGAGTTCTGGTGCCCTCTTCTGGCTGTAGGCATGCATTCAGACAGCACACTGTATAAATAATAAATGAATAAACAAACAAATAAATGAATCTTTGCTCGACAGTGGTGGCTCATGCCCGTAATCCCAGTGCTCAGGAGGCATAGGCAGGCAGATCTCTGTGAGTTCAAGGCCAGCCTGGTCTGCAAAGTGAGTTCCAGGACAGCTAGAGCTGTTACACAGAGAAACCCTGTCTCAAAAAACAACCCCCCCCCCAAAAAAATAGAATTGAGGTCAGAGCCCTCTTAAACTCCTAAGAAATATCTTTCTGTATAAATAATAGCAATTTAAGTCAACTTTGGGTGGGGGGAGAGACACAGTAAACATTGCACAGTTAAAAGAAGCTATCTATTTAAATAAGAGCAACTAAGTGCTAGATCAAAGGCAACATGTACATTTACAGCCGTATGGCACTGCCTATCAGATCAAAGTATAGTCAGGCCAGCAGGCAGGCATCAGACAGACCCTTTACCAGGAAAGCATGGAAAAGGAAGATGGGAGACTCAGCTAATCTCAAGATGTGAAAACAGACACCTGTCTTTACTTATTTTATTGTTTCAGAGTACTGGAGTCTTTTTTTTTAATTCCTTTTTTCCAGTGGGGAGAAAGTGTGCCTGTTAATAAGTACATAAAATAAAATCATCTTGGAGCCATCAAAGAACTTTTAGTCCTATTGTTCTTTATAATTCTGAAAGACAAGCACTTCAGAATGTCTATAATGCCAGCCAGCTGCTTTCTTCTGAAACTACAAATCCAAACCAGTAACTGCCGCCTGTTTTGCTTTTGAGAGGCTTAAGGAGAACCTTTCACCCATAGAAACATGTACTTGGGCAAGCAATTTAGCTCATTTGCAGTCTGCTTGGAGTGTCAAAACCACAGTTCGGGTGCTCCTGTAAGAACAGGAACTTTCAGAGTCACCACCAAACAATGGGAACTACTGTAAGAAAATTAAATATGGCAAGTGACAGGGCATTTCATTGTCTTTCAAACTGGTTATCGAGGACATCAGATGGGTTAGTGAAGTATGATGTTATTTCAAAGCAGCTTCCTGCTAAAATTAGACTTCCCTGTATGTTTTATTCTTGCTTTTTTCCCATCAGACCTCATCATAAATACAGATCTGTAAACCATGCCTCATATGCAGAGACAGCTTTCATCCTTTGCATTGTATGGAAGTTCTGAGCTTGAATATTCAACAGTCAAGATCTTTAGCAAAGTCAGCTGTGGACATCGTAGGCCATGCTAAACTAGATGCATTGTGAGGGGCCAGCAGACCACACTCAGTTGTGTCTTGCAACTCAGATGTCTTTTATTTGCTAGTAGATTGTAAGCCATTGCAATCATTAATGCCTTCTAATACTAAGGCAAAAACAAAAACTCTCCTCCCTGTAACCCCTCCCTCCACAAAAAGCAAACAAACAAACAAACAAAAATCACAGAATGTTGTATTGCTTGGGAAAGCAATTTAAAAGCAATGGTGAGTCAAAAAATGGCCTCAGTGGGTCCATTCCTTTTCCCAGCATTCACCTCTTCACCAAGTCCTTGCCACTCTGTAGCAGTGTTAAGCAGGACATGACAGAAGTGACAGTATGTTTCTCTAATATTGGTTTATAAAAAAATAAACAAACAAAAACCCTGTGGCTTCCATCTTGGTCCTGTTTGCATTTTCTCTGGTTACTTTCATGACAAAAAGTTAGCTAATATAATGTGAGCAGCCCCATGGAAAGGCACACGTGATCAGGAAAATCAGCCTGTTGTCAATAGTCACCTCAGTGGCTCTGGAGGGATACCCAATCCAATCCAAACTTCAGATGACAGCATCTTATCTGACAGCCTGACTGCCACCTCCAGGAGTTGGTGAGCCAGAAATGCCCAGGAGTTGATGAGCCAGAAATGCCCAGGAGTTGATGAGCCAGAAATGCCCAGATTCCAGAGTCTCGAACATGTTTGTAAGTTTTGAAACAATTTGTAATACAACAAAAGATAACTGTTGCAAAGGCTTTGCTTGCTAAAGGTAATTAAGAATTTTCTTAGCACGCTCTTGGGGGAGAGCTCAACAGCAGAGATCTTATTGCTGACCCTGAGTGCTTTGGCCCTGAGCTAAACATTTTATGGTTAATATCATGTTTAGCTATCACAGCAATTCTATGATGTTGGTTTTATTATTACCCTTATTTTGCAGTTGTGGAAACACAGACTTTAGAAAGGCTACACACCCCAAGGTCATGGGACTTAAAAAATAGACCAACAAATAAAAATCCTCTCTCAAGGATATCTAACTAGTAGGTTTTTTTTGTTGTACTTCATAAGAACGCTAACTCAAATTTATCTAAGGTCACATACTATTTCTTAAACCCATATAGTACTCTAGACAGATTTCTCACTTTGATATTCCATGGCTTACTTTGACAGAAGATTCCAAGGAATTTCACTTAAAAGAAAATGTAACACAGTGTAACAAAACCCCAGCTCATTGGGAAGGGCAATGTGCTGATGGTCACTTTAATGTTCTCTTTCCTATTTGCTTTTCTGGACTGCAGGAGAAGGCAGAGATGATAGAAGGGTCGGCTATGGCTTCATCATTTTTTGTCTGTCTCTGGTTGAACATGTCCTCATAGATACCATGGAGTTCAGTGCTATTATATAATGTAAGTATTGATCAGCAATTTTAATAAAGGTTTGGTAACTCTTCAAAAGTAAAAGTCATTTCCATTAAACTTTCCAAATTCTTCTGGATAAGAACATTTCCCCAAGCCCAAACCCTTTTGGCTTTGTATTTTATTTTGGAGTTTAGGTCATCAGCTGGTCAGCAGGATCTCACAGATGACCCAATGAAGATCCCTATTGAACCTACCCAGGAACTCAAGTCCAGTAGTTCAAAACCTTTAATGTCCATGTTATTGTTGCCTAGTGACTTGTTAAATCTGTGTATTTCCAGGGTCAACGCTGACTGATTGAAATATCTTCAGGTAGGTGAGTCATTGTGAATAGTATGCATGTATTTGTTTTGTGTGTGTATGGGGGAGGGGTACTGATTTCAGGCACAGTCATACCATGAACCATGCCGGAGGACAATCTTTGGGATAATTCATTCAGAGGTAAGTGGAAAATTTAGGGAGTTGGTTCTCTATTTCTATCATGGTTCTCAGAGATTCAATATCTGGCAAGCAGTTTCACCTGCTGAGCTGTCTTGCTGTCTGGGATTCCACCTTATTTTTGGAAACAGGATCTTTCACTAACTTGGAGATCACCAGTTACTTAGATTGGCTTCCTAGCAAGCTCAAGGGCCCAGTACTAGGATCATAGGCACATGTGTCTATGCCTAGATTATTTTTATGTGGGTACTGGGGACCAAACCCAACACCTTATGCTTGTTCAACAGACACTTTATCCATTAACCCAGCACCCCAATTCCCAGATATGCATGTAAATAAGCCTTTCAGGTGGTTCTGAGGTCCCTAGACCCATTCTCAGCAGAAGAGCAACCACGTAAAATATGTTGACATCAGCCTATGTAGAAGCTACCTTGACTTCATGATAAAACCTGTGCTGTGAATATAGAACAATGTTAGTTTCTCAATAGAGGAACTATTTCTATCTAAGAATCAAGCAAAGCAATGTTAAAGTTAAAAAGTCCTTTGATAGCTCTTCTAAACATTTCTGGCTTTTCTAAATTACATCGAAATTCTGTTTTTTCTTAGGGGTTTTTATTTCTTCTGTGGTATCAAGATTAGTTTGTAGGTGGTCCACAAATCAAGTAGTAGCTATCCATGGTTTTTTTGTTGTTGTTGTTTTGTTTTGAATGCAAAGACATTCTTAAGATAACTTAAATAAAATTTGGCAGTCACAGACAAGTTTTAAGTAGCAATGCATAACAAGAAATTAGTATCATTTTTAATAATTTCTGAAACACTTAATTGTTTATAGGTGTGTTCCTTATAGGACATCTTCTTGTCAGTCTGACACAATTCAGAATGAGGAGCATCTTTCATAGTATCTGTCAATGAATTAATTTTCATTCATAACTTGTTTTAAACTATAAGCAGGATGCATGTGTGGAGTTGTCATTTTCACATCGAAGATTTTGTTGAGCGTACATCCTGATATGGTAGGTTTTGTTGGAAAGTGTGTGGAAGGACATTAAGATAAGGGACCTAACTCCATCTTAACATACTTCCTGGAATTATTCCCCCATGTGCTTTAAAGATTAAGAAAAAGGTTCTTCTAATCTGAAATCTATAGAGCCAAATTAAGAACAGTCTACTTAATGCCTATGAATGGCAGCTGAGGAGCTGCAAAGGTGTAGGCTTTGAATAACAGTGATATAATAGCAAGTGTTACTTGTGACTGTAAGGACGTGAGCATCTTTGCTGGGGTCAAGGACAGATCAGTGATATTTAGGTAGGACTTTACTCAACTGTGCGTTATACCCAAGATGCTCTCCCACACTAAGATTTTGCAAATGACTAACAAAATAAACTGACTGTGAGAAGTGAAAGATTCTTGTCTTAATCTTAAATGCTATAAGTTTGTCATTCAAGTGGTTGAGAACATTTTTCCTTTGCAGCCTGTAGCCCAAGTTTCTGCAAATGACTTGCAGAGTGTGTATATGGCCTGTGGGCTCTGGCCAGTGTCACCAACACCTCGATTTCATTCTGACATCGAGCGAGCCTTCAGCAAAAAGAATTCTACAAGCCGGGCCCTGTTGCTCTCAGTGCTTTAATGCTCTGACCTCCAAGGTCAGAGAATGAACATTGGCATGTGTTCCAATATATCTGGTTGTGGATGTATTAGCATCGCTCCTTCCAGATGGTGATGTGAAAAGGGCAACTGCTGGGCTTCCATCACTCAGGTTAATGCCACCTCTGCAGGTCAGACTGGAGGCAAGAATGCAGTGACAACTCAAGTCTCTGTGTGTGCTGAGAACAGGGCTCTTTGCTGGGCATTGGGGGAGGGGACCGGTTTCTGTCGACTTAAGAGGAAAGTTTCAGGCATATGGTGGGTCAGAATGTTTTTTCCATAATATAAACCACCTGCCTGCCTCCTTGTTTACCTCTTCCTGAAATGCTATTCTGCACATGTGCCTAGACCAAAGTCCCTGGTAACCATTACAATCCCAAATTGTGTTGTGCTCCTTCAAGGTGCCCTCCCTCCCTCCCTCCCTCCCTTCCTTCCTTCCTTCCTTCCTTCCTTTCTTTTTTCCTTCCTTCCTTCCTTCCTTCCTCCCAGCCTTTCTTCCTTCTCTTTTCTTTTCTCTCTGTCTTCAACTTTTTTATTTTTTTAATGATAGGATGAAGACAAGATGAATTAATCAAAGCTCAAATTTTTGGCTTATTTGGAGACTAGGGAGATGAATGGCTCAGCAGTTAAAGAACACTCACTGCTCTTCTAGAGGACCAATGTTTGGTTCCCATCATCCACACCAGATGGCCCACAATCACCTGTAACTCCAGTTCTGGGGGATCCAACACCATCTTCTGACCTCAGAAGGCACCTGGTACACACATGGCATACACTCACACAGACGTGCATTTACATAAAAATAAAAGAGTTCTTAAATTTTTTTCTTTTGGCCTTTTTCAAATGGTAATTGTGGTATAAATGGAATGCATGAGAGGGATGGAAGGATATCACACAGAGAAAGTCAATCTTACCTGCTCAGCAACCTAAGTTAGATGGTGAACATCCTCCCAAAGTATATTACAAGGGCTGCAAGACTCCTGTGGAGATACCCTGACATCCTTATTTTGCCACGGGCCTTCTCTGGGCTTTCCTTTTCTCTATATGCTACTGTTCTGTCCAGAGGTCAAACATCTCTCTTCTCTTTGTTTAATAAGAAAAGAAGCAGATTGCAGTTAAGGGAGAAGGCTGGGTAATAAAGGATCTTATGAAAGCAATATGCACTTCTGAGTTTCATGCAAGTTACTAAAGTCTGATGATCAGCTGATGTGCCTTTCAAATGGAATGGGGGTCATAGCCAACTTTCCTATCTTTGAGTCTCATGAATTATGACAGGACGTTTATTTCTCTGAAGATTTCTATCAGGAAATGCCTCTTTTGGGAGTTGCTATACTGCCTAGTGTGTGATGCATCTGAGTCTCCTACCAAAGTCAGGGGGAAAAAGCCAAGGATTGTTTCAAACAGAAACATTTAGGATTAAAGCAGCATTGGTGCTGGACAACAGCCTTGATTTTATGGCAGGAACTTCACTTATATCTGGAGAATGAAGTGTTAAGGTGAGGGCTTATTTGATTACTAGCAAAGAAAGCATTCCAGTTGTATTTAGTCAAGCATGTGAATTGATTAAACATTCTCTCAGTCATGGGGAAAACCTTAGTTTTAGTAACTGGTAGCTGACTTTTTTCTTGTGATTTAGATATCCTTTACTTTCTTGGATTTTGAGAAGACTCATGCAATTTATGAAAGTACAAAATGTGTTTCTGAGTCTGATTATACAGGTAAAGTGTACTTATCACATTAAGTAAAAGAAAACAACATTCCATACTTCTATTTTCCTTGTACTCAGTCCAATCCTTATAAAAGCAGTATTCCTAGGTATTTTCATAAGCAAAATAACTAAAAGCCATTAAAATGCAGAGAAAGCTTCACCAAGACGCATCTGCTTTGAATGTTCTTTCTTTGGCTTCCTGTTTGTTGTACAGCAACAGTGTCTGAGTTAGGATTTCTATTGCCACAGTAAAACACAAGACCAAAAGGTAAGCTGGGAAGGAAAGGGTTTAATTGGCTTACACTTCTGCATTGATGTTCATTACTAAAGGAAGTCAGGACAGGAACTCAAAACAGGGCAGGATCCTGGAGGGGGAAGCTGATGCAGAGGGCTTAGAGGGGTGCTGCTTACTGGTTGGTTCCCATGGCTTGCTCAGATTGCTTTCTTATAGAACCCAGGACCAGCAGCCCAGGGCTGGTACCACCCACCATGGGCTGGGCCCTCTTCCATTGGTTACTAAATGAGAAAATGCCTTACAGCTAGATCCAAAAAGGCAGTTCCTCAACTGAGGTTCCTTCCTCTGATGTCTCCGTGGCTAGTGTCAGGTTGATGTACAAAACCAGCCAGTACAACCAGATAGGAGTTAAAAATGGGTTGAGGGAGCCGATCAAGAGTCTGCTAGTAGAGATAACAAATGTTTCAACCTAATATGCCTGGCATTTACATAACTAGTCTTAGAGCCACACTATATCATTGAATACCTATACTTATTTTCTATGAAACGCTTTTAACAATAGCACCCAAATAGGTAAGAAAAACATAATATCATAATTAATTATATATATGTTTCAGATATATCAAGCTATCACATCAATGCTATACATTTTCGTTAATAATAATTCACATATGTAAATAATTGTATAAGTAGTACTATGAGAAAAATTTGCTAAACATAAGAATGTAAAATTTTAATTCCAAGTTATCCTAGCCAATTCTATACAGAAGACTACTTCATGGACTTTTTTAAAAAAATCGAACCACAAACTTTTTAAAATAAAAATATAAAATAAGATACTCGAGTTTTTTTGGAGGGCTTAGAAACAAAAACAGCTGCCAGAACAATAGTGACTCCCCTTCTACATTCATAAGGAGGGGCTGGAAGATGAGCTGGGGCCACGGTCATTTTTATGGTAAAATGTGGAAAATGTTGCTGATTTTCATGGATGTGATGTATGATAAGAGAAGGATTAAGTGCTTAGACCAAAAAAATGGTGTAATGAAAATGCACTCAGGATGCACAAATCTCACATAACTTCTGGGGAAAATTTTTGTGTCAGTAGGTTATTTTGTTTATTATTTAGATATTTAAAAACAATGCCACATTTTCAGTTCTCTCTTTTTTTTCATACTACAGTAATTCATGAAGGTTTGGTAAAAGGAAGGTCAAGATTAACTGAAAATGTCTTAATTAGTCTTCATGGACACAAGCTTCCCATTTACTCAAATTAGAGGTACTTTGCATGAAAAAACAGTGTTAGCTTGTGACCATCAAAGTCTTGGACAGCTTTCCTTTTACTAATCAGGAAACTAGAGACCATTCTTAATACCACTCCACTGTTCTGAATGAATGAGCATGATTTCTTACAGCTTTCACGAAACTGCTGAAATCAGAGTGGTTAGTTCTGTAACCTAACTCACAGTCCACTTTAATAATACTTGGCGCCACTGGAAGCGATATCCATGGAGCAACAAGAAGCCTACTCTGGCACAATGATTTCTCCATGCTTCAGCACATGGCCTTGGTGCTAATAATCCATCATGAAATGGTTTGCAATGCACTTATAGGCTCTTGTAGGACAGCTGCTGGTAAAACATGGTTAAATGTTACATGGCAAAAAACAACATTTAAGATGGGTTTTGAACTGACAAACAGTGTAAGATATCATCTCTAAAGAATTTTTTATCCCTTTTTTATTCCCTGGTTTTTCTTCCCCAATCTTGTTTTGGAGGAACAAATGGGTTAGGGGACTAGATTTGGTTGCCAACCACCCAAATACATTTCAAAATGTTTTTGATTCAGGAAGTTCTGGGTCTTTTAAAGCAAGGACATTAGCAATCCTCCTGAGAACCTTAAACTATGATGATTTAAACATAAGGAAAAGGAGACTTTGAGATGATCAGAGAAGTCACCCAGAGGCCTCCCTGCTGAGCAATTTTCATTTTCATTTTTTTAAGACCACAAGGAGGATGTTGGATCCACCACCTAAGGGAAGTCCTGTCTTTTGAGTCAAAATTTATGAGACAATAGGAAAATTCATAATCCTCAGGGTAGCTAAAACAAACAAGAGCACTAAAATTCTTAGATTCATGGTCTCTAGATATATGTTTTATATGACAAATGCATTCCATTTAAGATAGATTATAATGAGTGCATTTATTGACTGCGGACATAATGCATGCCTGTGTACAAATATAGTCATCATTGGTTATTCATGGCCGTGAGAGCCAAGTGAGAGGAAAGTTATGCACAAATCAAATCCAGGGGGAAACAGGCAGTCCTAGATCAATTATTTCTCATTGATTCACTTCCAGTATTTTAGCCATAGATAGGAACAAGATAATGCTGGTTTATTACAAGGTTACTGAACCTTTGTAACCTCACCCACAGGAAAAGTTAAGTGGATATCTTTGCAGACTATTGATTGCATAGAAGAGTAACAGCATTAAGTTGTTCTTGGGGTTTATTATTCATTCATTCGAGTATTGATTTTACAAAATTTACTAGGCTGATACTATGTGAAAACAGCAGTGCTTGAGATTATGAAGTCTTAAGGAGATGGGTCCCATCCCTGAGGCATCTATATTTTATTGCAGAGATAAAACACATGCACACATCACCTTAGCGTAAGGTGCTAATAGAGAAGCATATAACTGCTTTGGGAAATCTGAAGAGGTAGACTGTTTCCAAGAGACGATTCAGAGCATATACATGGAAAATATTCTTGTGTGGAGGCCTAGAAAGTGGGGCAGGAACACTGACTATTAGGTGTAGGAGTGAACCCCACAAAGCTATCCGCCCATGAGGGCGGGGACATGTAAACTGACACAGGTAGATATAAAAGGAAGTGAAAGGAAAAGGAACCTCCCTTTTTCTCTTGGAAGCCAGCCACGCTTCTAATTCCTAGCTAGTGCGACTCTCTCTCTGGTAAATAAATATATTGTTTTCCTTATAGCGTTGAATATCCTCATTAATTAGGTCATAGTGTGAGTATGGGGATGACTGGAGGAGATCAAAATATAGGATGTGGGGGAGTTAAGGCAAAGCACCCAGTGTCAGAAAAGGGATCCCTGTAGATAAAGCCTGGAGGACAAAAGGGGTCAGATGAATTGTCTATTGCTGCAGAGGGATTTAGACTTCAGTAAGATAACAGCAACTATTAGCTTTCTTCCCCAGTCAAATTTTTTCTTTGGAAATGATTTTAGAGAAAAGTTATAAAGATAGTATAGTTTCCCACTAGCCAGAAATTTAATGTTTTAGTTTTGTTTATATATATATATATATATATATATATATAGTGTGTGTGTGTGTGTGTGTGTATGTATGTGTATGTCTATGTGCATGTGAGTGTAGGTGTCCTAAGAGGCCAGAGACATCAGATCCCCCTGGAATGGAGTAAGTGGTTGTGATCCACTTGATGAGAGTGCTGGGAATTGAATTTACACATCCTTTCTAACAGCAGTACACACTCTTAATCACCTAGCCATTTCTACAGACCCCTTTTGTTTTTTACCACAATGATTTTTTGTTGTATGCTTGTACTACACTGTATGACTTTCTTATAAGTACCGAGGCACATACCTTTTTAATTTTGTTTGTTATTAATCAGAAATTCCAAATATGTCTTATTTATCTTTTCTTTTTTCCTTCTTGCTTTTTTTTTTTTTTACTTTTTTTATTTTTGGTTTTTCTAGACAGGATTTCTCTGTAGCTTTGGAGGCTGTCCTGGAACTCACTCGGTAGAACAGGCTGGCTTCTAACTCACAGAGATCCTCCTGCCTCTGCCTCCTGAGTACTGGGATTAAAGGTGTGTGCTCTCACTGCCTGGATTTATTCATCTTTTCAAAAACACAGGTTTGGGGTTTTATCTTTAACCAAATTTGGTGGGTTTTGACCCATTTCAAAGTCAGTGACCTTAAAAGTTTCTCAAAAGCTACCTATACACTCAATATATTCAATCTAATTTTTTAAAACAAGGGTGCTGCAGAGTTGGCTCAGTGGTCAGGAGCACCGACTACTCTTCCAGAGGCTTAGGGTTCAATTCCCAGCACCCATGTGGCAGCTCACAACTGTCTGTAATTCTAAGATCTGACACCCTCACACAGACATATGCGCAGGCAAAATACCAATGTATATAAAGTAATAAATAAACTATTAAAAGCAACACAAGCTAGTGGGTAAATGCAGTATCAGAAAACAAAACAAAACTCCAACCTACCACCAGGCGGTGGTAGCGCACGCCTTTAATCCCGGCACTCGTGAGGCAGAGGCAGGTGGATCTCTGTGAGTTCGAGACCAAGCCTGGTCTACTGAGCGAGTTCCAGGGCAGTCTCCAAAACAATACAGGGAAACACTGCCTCAGAAACACCAAAACAAAAAACAAAGAAACTCCAACCTACCTTTGAAGTTGAATGCCCTACTCACTCATTTTGTCCACATTTTCTGGGTCTCTGCTCCTGTCTCATCATCTTCCTCAGCCAACGGCTAAGCTAAAATTGAGGTTTTTAATCCCATCTCCCCAAATTCCAGCCACTTTTACACTCTCTGTGGATCACCTTGTGTATGCAGCTCTATCCACTACCATAGATGCTCATGACTCACTTCCTGAAGCTCTTGGTCTTAGCTTCATGTAGCTCTAAAGCATCTTCATGTGGCCGCCAGAGCACTCTTTCAGAAACACGTTTGCGCATACTGTTCACATTCAGGGCTCTGATTCTACTTAGTGCAGAACGTGTACTCTCCTTGGCAAGGTGTGACGGCCAAGTGTCTCAATGCTGTCTTCCACACTTACATTCTGGTGACCCTGAAAATGCTTGAGGTCTCTTCTTTCGGTGTTTCTTGTACTGAGAGAACACACATTACCTTTCCCAGATGGATAAGAGACCTTCAACTGTACACCTCAGCTTCAGTTTACAATCCCCAATAGTCACTGACGTGGGTTTGCTAGTCTGCTTATTAAATTATGCTTTTCTTGGGCCAGTGAGCAGGCTCGGCTGGTGAAGGTTGCCTGACACCAAATCTGATGACCTGAGTTTGAGTCCTAGGACTCACATAATGGAAGGAGAAAAATGATGCTCTCCTCCCCCATGAGCTGTTCTCTGACCTTCACACAAGAACCACGGCACAGTGTGAACACACACATGTATACACACATGTGCATGCACACACACACACACACACACACCACAAATACTATAAACATTTTTAAAGTTTTAGAAGCTTAAAGACGTAATCTTCTCTTACCACACAAAGGGTTTGAGACAGTTTAAAGCAGATATAACAGGCAATACAATAAAACAGGGTAAAATAGCAACTAATCCAAAGGGGGACTATAGTTAATTAAAGTTAACACCAGATAAGACAGCTTTAAAAACATTGGGTTCTGTACACCCGTACATGTACATGATAAATATATACACTGAAAGGTTTTTTTTAAATCAGTGCTTCCTATCTACCAAGCTCAGAAAGAAACTTGGCTGTGTATTCTTTTCTTTATGTTAGAAATGAAGTACCGCTGTTCCTGAATGAGTATGGCTTATTGCGTTAAAGGAATACTTATAAAGAGGACTAGTAACTTTAGAAGTGTTCCCTTGCTTGTGCTTGCAGTGACCCTTAAATATAACTCCATAATTACTATAGCATTTTTTACATTGATTTCCTAAGGGTATGGACCATATCCTCAGCCTGCTTGATGTTCCCTAGTGACTCACTGGATAGCCAGATGTTGGTTGTAATAGAGTCCAATGCTTTTTGCATAGATACACGATTAGAAATATGTCTACATTTATCCACAAAGAGGAAAAAAGTGTAACCAAATGGGTGAGTATTCTAATAATGATATCTGGAGAGTTTGTAATCCAGCAGATATGTCATGCTAAAACACACGGAGAATGTACTTTCTATGACGTCCGGCTAATCCTGCGGATACTTTCCATCTCAAAGCTGGGAAAGATTGAAAGGTTAAAAAAGTTTTTCAAGGTATTACAAATAGATAGAGGCAGAACCCTGGGATAAAGACAACTACTTAATCCCAGTTCTCAGCTTTCTGCTGTTGGTTCATGCTTTGGTGTGGAGTAGACTGATTACATTGACTTGCATATTTTATATAAATATTTGTTTGTTTATTTAGCTAGTTTTGAGACAGGGTTTCATTCTACCGACTTAGAACTCTCTATGCAAATCAGGCTGGCCTTGAACTCCTAGAGATCTGCTTGTCCTCACCTCCTGAGTGCTGGATTAAAGTCATATGCTACAATGATTACCAGATTGATTAATACTTAACTATAACAAAAATCATGGTAGTACAGCCTTTCAACTGATTGCCACTATTTTCTAGTTCTGTGTATTTTATTCTAGAATTGTTTTGTACTATCCGGAGACGAAATGCTATACTATAAAAAATTGTTTTCTGTAGAAGTACCAGGGCACGTCCCAATATAAACCACTTCTTTCTTTTTTAAATTGGGGCAGTTTTTCCAGTATATTTGATAGGCTATGATTCAGCTTTATTCACTATATCCAAGAAAAGTCATAGCTAGTTTGTGCTCTAGCCCAGTTATTTTTTGCTAACAAGGGGCTGGCTGTTCTTACCTGAAAGTTGCCAAAGCAGCTTCCTCCAGGGAGAGTCACGTAGCTCACAAAGGGAGGCCCAGAGGAGGGCATTGACTCATAGACCACCAAGCCTTCACTAGAGAGTGTGGCTCTCTGCTGCTGCTTACTTTCCCAAAATTCCTGTAACATTGACACAACATTCACTGCAAAAGACAAGAAATAGCACCAGTTATAAGGGTGGGCACACACTGGCAGAAACCAAATGTTTAAGGCTGGATTCTGCAAGGGGCAGTTGCCATTTAAATGGAGCATGTGCATTATGGGAGTTGCTTTCAACTGTGAAGAAATTGTGAAGACACTTTAGTTGAGCATGTGTAAAGGATGTTAAGATATATAACTCTAACACATGTGTGTATTTCCTTTGTAAACTACATTTTTATTTAGTGTGTGTGTCTCTGAGAGAGAGAGAGAGAGAGAGAGAGAGAGAGAGAGAGAGAGAGAGAGAGAGAGAGAGAGAGAGAATTTGTGTGGAGAGCAAGTACATATGTTGGCACTTGTATAAAGGTCAAATGACAGCTTTGGGGAGTTGGCTGTCTCTAGTTTGTGGTTCTCAGGAGTCAAATTGAGGTTGTCAGGCCAAGCAGCTGAGCCATCTGACTGGACTATATGTATGTTTCTTAACAAGTAGGACTCAAGTGGTTTTAGTACCCCAGTTTTGATATTAAAATAATATCAAATTTATTTTACAAATTACATTGATATCAAAATTTAAAATCTGACCATTCATCTCTGAAATCTTGCTGTAATAGACTTTTCCAGACCTGTGATTATCTATAGCCCATATCCAATTTCTCCTACCCAGTCCTGAAAAGAGAAAGCCACATTGTGAAGTAAAGATGTAAGCAATGTAATATTAATCTGGACTTGATATTCATATGACTTAAAAGAAATTCAGATTGGAGGAAACTCTTTTATGTTCCATCTAACCCAATCTAAAGGAGAATCAAAGGCAATCGCCAAATAAGCAAGAGGCTGGAAAAAGCCGTGAGTGAAACTAGTAACATGGAGCCTTTGTAAGGACAAGGTCTGTTAGATGATTTTGGAAAACACAGGAATGGTGAAGGCCATGTGTTTTAGATTAAATGACCTGTGATAGCCTGCAGAGGTTCCAGATCAAATTAGGCTGCTTTGTTTATCCTGTGCTGCAAATTGAATTGGGGAAATTAACAAGGATAATAGAATTGTGGAGTCAAAAGTGACCTTATGAGTCATGTCGACTAAGCTCTGCCTGATGCGGGAATTTCCTTGCCAGCCCTGCTGCCAGACAGCTGTCAGTCTGGCCTCTACCTGAATTTGCCACACTTGACACAGCCATTTTCAATCACTGACGTTTCTGATTTAAGATTTCCTTTAAGATTTATGCAAGGAGTCTACTAGCATTTCAAGAGAGCTCACAGTGTATTTGAAGGCAGCATTGGATAGATATCTGTCGGTTTTGCCTGTGGGGCATTTGCTCAGTTTCATATGTGACTAGGACAAAAGGTTCCCTTGAAGTATCATACAGTCTTTACAGTTGGGACTAGGGATTGGCCAAACCTTATGCATTTAGAGGCAACAGTCCAAGACTTTTGTTGGAAATTCTCTTTTTTCATGTGTGGGTTGGAAGACTAGGAGGTAAGTACATCATTGCTCACTCAAGAACGATGGCTTGAGAGGAAAGTGAACACAGAGAAGGGTAGCAGAGGAGATGGAGAAGAAAAGACTAAATGTTACTGATGTAGGTTGAGTACCTCAGTCCAGCTTTGCACAGCCCAGGCTCCTTTCTTTATAGTGGATTATCTGAAACAATTCATCTGCTTTCCCCCTTAAGCCCCTATGAACGGCTCAATCACTTGCATCTTTTTGTTGTTGTTGTTGTTGTTTTACCAGATAGGGTTTCTCTGCATTTTTTTGGAGGCTGTCGGGCCAGCCCGGCCTCGAACTCACAGAGATCTGCCTGCCTCTGCCTCCCGAGTGCTGGGATTAAAGGTGTGCGCCACCACCGCCCGGCAATCACTTGCATCTTAAAGTGTAGCAATGCAGTGACCACAGATTAGCTCAGTGGCAGAGTGATGGCCTAGCAAGATGGGGCCCTGAATTTTTCTCCAGAATTACAATACAGTTTTGTATGTTTCAAAATACTGAACACTGTTTCCCCCCCCGGAAGTGAGGGGTGTCACAGAGTTTGAACTAACAGCAAAAGCACTGTACATCCACACCTCTAAGCTGTTTCCAAGACAGTAAGGCTCTTACACCTTCTCCTTAGGTCTCTGATAAACTCATGATGTGTCAGGAAAGCTCACGATTCTCCTAAGGAATTGGGTACCTTTGTAGTTTAAAAAACTAGTTTAGTATTCAAGTGTCCTGGGAAATAATGAGAAAAGATATGCCTAATACGAAAAAGTGGGTTAATATATGTGGAAGGGATTAAGTTGAGAATTGGTGAATATAGAACTTCTAATTTGTTTACAAATTTAAAATAGTGTTTTATACCAGCTGATAAAATTCAATGTGAAAAGTCGATAATTTTATATGTTTAACTGTTTCTGGCCCGCATGCTTTCCTCCCTTCCAGTTCTGAGAAGGCACAGATTTTTTGAGGAATCCAGTTTATTATGTCTCTACATGCAATTGACCCTCTGGATTCATTAAGAGAGATCCTGAAGCCAGAAATAGAAACCAGTGAGTGGCCTTTTGATCCATTGGTTAACAAAGATCATGACCTTCGAGTTCTAAGTTCATCTCTGAATGAGATTGTTCGGGTTGGAGAAGGAAACTGAAGACACATGGTTATCTAGGATAGGATACATACAAGAATTTTGGCCCACATAACTTATTTCAGTTAAAGAGTTTGAAAGTATGAGTTTAGATTTCTGCATGAATAAAAAGAATAGCTTTTGATTTTTTTCATTATGCAACCATAAAAGATTCCTTTGATGGCACTACAGATGTCATCACCCTGAAAAGTGCAACATCTGTGCATGAGCACAGACCATGCATATTTCTATCTGCATCCCCTTTGTGCTTGGGAATCAGGATGAATGCAGTGTGGGACAAAGAAGGCCAGCTTTGCTGTCTGCAACTAAAGTCAGTTATATGAGGCTGTTCTATTTATAAAACACACACTCCTTTTTGTTTAAGGAGCACCAGTAAAGTTTATAGACGATTTCAAAGAAAATATGAGAAGAGGATGAGGATTCATTACATAGTTTAGTCTCTAGATGCCTCAGCCCCAAATCCTGTCCTCCCCATGTTACAAAATAAACTTGAGCTACCAAGTGTGTGATGTTCAATCTCTACATCTAGGGACTCATGTGTGTGTGTGCCCATCTCTGTAAGAAATAATTCATGCTCTCTCTCTCTCTCTCTCTCTCTCTCTCTCTCTCTCTCTCTCTCTCTCTCTGCTCTCTCTGGTATTGTTTCCTTAGTCCCACTCTTGACCCATTTTTTAATTGCTTACTCTTTGCTTGTTGCTTCTCAGCAGCCATAAATGTGCTCAACACAATGAATGAATAATAATCAATTAAATACATCACTCAACCTTGGAACTGTTTGTGGTGACTGGTTATTGAAATTTGTGTTATAGTCAGGCTGCTAGTAAGAATATCCTGTGCTAACTGTCTCTGCTTCCTCAGTGCTCTTGTTTTTTTTTTTTTTTTTTGTTACCATAGTCCAGCTTCTTTCTACCCTAGTCCAGTGAAATACTTTGACAAATATTGCCAATTCAGCTGGGCAGTGGTGGCGCGTGCCTTTAACCCCAGCACTTGGGAGGCAGAGGCAGGCGGATCTCTGTGAGTTGGAGACCAAGCCTGGTCTACAAGAGCAAGTTCCAGGATGGGGTCCAATGGTACACAGAGAAACCCTGTCTCAAAAAAACAAAAACAAAAATTGCCAATTCAGGATTTTCAGGCCTCATTTACTTATCTTCCTAGCTGATAATAGTATGTATTTCTATCTGTATCTGCTCTTGTGGTTAGTGGTAGACAGAACGCAGTGTGAACTATGCGTGTTGTATGTTCAGAAGCAAGGGTGCAGTGCAGTTATGTGATGCAATATAAACAAGCAGTTCTCTGAGAACCTCAGATTCAGTATGCATTTGATTTTGAATTAACTTTTGGTCACTGGATATTCAAAAAAAGCTTTGCTGTTGCCGATGGTTTTTTGTTTGTTTGTTTTTTTGCCAGCCCCCACATTCAGTTAACTTTACATGGGGTCACCACAGCAGTTTGAGAAGCTGTGGTCTACCACACATTGTTTGAAGGTATGCAGCATTCCTCTCAAAGTTTAGTAAGGTTCCTTTCCCAGTCTCTACTTTTTTTCTAAATGGACCTTAAAGCAAAACAGTTTTATCAACAGCCAGGACAAGATTATCAGTCACCTGGTGAATCTGGACACTAAACAGGAGGGTGTTAGTGACCCTTGGCTGGATACCTGGAGAAGGCACGTGGGGACAGTTTTGTTTGGTGCTGCAGTCAGAACAAAAAGATAAGTGCTTAGCTGATGCTAAGCGACAGGGCTGCCATAGAGAAGCGTAAGGTCCAATGGCAGAGACAGCGTTGTAAGAAGGAGTAGGAGGAAGATCCTAGAAACTATATGAAACCCAGTTCTGTTTCAAGACATTTATCATCTTAGAGCATCTGAAAATAGAGGAAGCAATTTACTTCTAATTTATATTGTTTGTCAGACTTCTTAACCCATCTTCCTGCCATGAATTTCTTCTTTGGATGCAGTGATAAATCTCTTCAACATTTTGAATGTTTTGTGTATCAACAAGACAGTTTGCTGCACGGTTTATAGGTATCACTCTGGCTAGTATCATCTCTCTTTACTGTGTTCTGAAATTTGTTCATAACTGCATTTTTGGAGCACTAATTCGACTGCCCAGAAGCTCTTCTACACAGCAGGTTTTTATTTTCTCCTTCCTCAAGTTTCCTTTTTTTATTTATTATAAAGTAGTCTGAAGCTTTCCCAACTAACCAAAGAAGATATGAGTAGCATAAAACACTTTGACTATCTAATCTTTGACCCTCACCAGAAAATAAGCCCTCCCTTGGCTTGGGTAAGAACATTCTCTTTACTTGTCTTGGAACTCATGAAGCTTATTCTCCCTCCTACCTTGAATGTTTCCCCCACCCCATACCTAATTTACTCCTACACTTCAGATG